TATTTAAAAACGAGAAAGATTGTGTAAATGGACCTAACCGTATTGTTATCAAGCCATTGGCAGAAGAGGGGAGGAGGAGTTCAGAAACAAATGACCAGAACTTAACCTTGAGATGCCAGGAAGCATGGTTTAGGAAAGCAGCTGACAAAATGTACCCTCCAGTTATAAAGAGCAGTGAGGTGACAAAACACAACACTGCACATTACTCTGGGTCAGTAACCAGACCTAATTTGTTCATGAATCACTTCCTGTTATTGTCTTCAAATGTTTCATAGCAGGGGAAAGCAAAAATTAATGAAATTTTGTCTGAATTTTTTAACTAAATGTTTTATTTCCCTTGCCCCATTCATATTAAGATACATACTGAAAGTCTCTATGATATTCAAATATGTTTGTGGAGGTACTATTATCCATAGAAATGTAACAAAGCTATCCATAGAATGATACACAGAGAACTTAATTTGAGATACATTGCAGTTGTCAAAAGATTGGGGTTAATAAGTATGCCTGATTAGCTGAGCCCATTTACAATTCATTCTGCTCTTCATCTTTCATCACTTCCTACTTTAACTGTCCAATCATGCTTAATCCCCAACACCCAGTTCCTTTCATGACTGACCTATTATCGGGCTCAACTTCCAACAGGCCTTCTTATCAGGCCTTGCACCATTTGGCTCAATCTATAATAATTCCATGAATGGGTAATTTGCACCTCTCCACATATGATTCATTGTAAAAGAGGGAGAATGTTAAGAGACATAGCAGATATTTAAATAGGAGGAGTAAGAAAAATGGGAGAACCAAAAATAATACAAGCTTCTTGTCTGCCTAATTTAGAAAGCAATAGTGCAACTTTTAAAAATAGACAAGAAAGAGGTCGATTTTAATTTTCAGAAATGTTAAGTTTTAGCTTCCAACAAGAAATCCAGATGTAGATATTAAATAGACATTATTATAAATGTTGGACTAAAACTGAGGAGTGAACTTTGGCCCAGAGATACAGATTTGGGAGAAATCTGAATAGAAATGAAGGCTGAAGACTAGAGAGTGAATTAGTTGACCATAGTGGAGAATGTAAAGACAAGAAATATAAAAGTAAAAACAGAGAAGACTTATTAAGAAGATCAAGAGAAGAGAAAAGAATGGGATTAAAAAAGATTAGTCAGAGGAGATTGAAGAGAATTCTTAAAATTATCTCATTATAGACAATTTAATAATAAGGAGTTTGACCCACACTGCAAGTTTGCTTTGCTGGGAGATACTTGGGAACTGGGGGATAAGTCTTCAGCCTTCATAAGAAAATGACATTGTTGCCAATTCTATTCTAGGTGTCCAAGCAATGTGATTATTAGTTTAACATAGAACAGAGCCTTTTACAACTGCAAATACTTACTAGAGAATTTAGATTTCTAACTGCTTGTCATCTAGTTTCTGACAGAAGATCGGTTGATGAGATATTGGTATGGTACTGTAGGATAATCACTGGACCACAAGGTCGATTTGAACTGCATATTGGCAGTTCAAACCCACTGGCCGCTCCTCGGAAATCCTATGCAGGGTTGCTCTGAGTTGGAAATGACTCAAGGGCACTTACAACAACACCAGCAACAAGTGACATTAGTATCACTGGGGAACTAGTTCCTAACACAAGATCTCATACCCTATGCCAGAACTACAGTATCAGAATCTGCAGGACAACAAGATCCTTGATGATTTGTTTGCATGATAATGTTTGAGAAGGACTGGTCTGAGAGATTAACAGCACATAGTAAGCACAGATTTAAGGTAAAGCTGATATGCTGTTATTGTGGTTAAGTACTGTCGAGTAGTTCCTGAATCATAGTGACCCTGTCTAAGGTTTCCTAGGAGCAGTTGGTGAGTTTGAAGCGTCTAGCTTGCGGTTTAAACCACTTTGTGATTGAGTACCTATTCTATAGTGCTACATTGGAACCTAGACATTATTGCCCAGCTCCCAAGAGTAGCAATAATAAAGGTGTCTCAGTGGGTTAAGTTTGGATTGCTAACCAGAAGTTTGGTGATTCTAACCCACAAGCTGCTCCACAGGAGAAAGATGAGGCAATGTGCTTCTGTAAAGATTTACAGACTCAGAATCCCTGTAGTGCTCAGTCGTGTCCTATAGTGCTGCTATAAATTAAAATCAACTCAACGGCAGTAGGAATAGGTTAAGAAATAACCCCAGATGGCACAGTTTGCACTGAAATACTAACCTAGGTTGTTGGCTCAAACGCACCCAGCAGCACTGCAACAGAAAGATCTGGCAGTCTGCCTCCATAAAGATTAAACCAGGTGCCAATGGTGGCCTAATGTGTTACAGACTAGAAATGAGCTCCATAAGGTTTTCTTGGCCATAATCTTTACAAAACAGATCACAAACCTTTTAAATCCCACTGATAGCATTTGAACTGCCAAGCTTTAGGTTAGGAGTTTTTGTGCCAACCAGTAACTTCCATTAAAAAAAAAAAAAAATCCTATGGAGCAATTCTACTCTGCAACACACAGGGACACCATGATTTGGAATCAACTGAATATCACCTAGTTTGGTATAGCTAAGGAATGTGCTAGTATTTTATATACATTAACTCATCCACTCCTTCCAATAATCCTATAGGATAGATGATCCCCATTTTAAAACAAGGAACTCAAGACTCAAAGAGGCCCGATGCCACATAGTTAGTAAATGGTGGATCCAGTAATTGAACTCACTCCTCTTGAACTCAAAGGCCTGAGTTCTAAAGTCGTTGTGCTCTATCGTCTTCCCAACTACCAGTCATTTGTCTTTTAATTTTATTGGAGATAAAATACCTCTTCCTGTTTTGTAAAATTGCAAAGAAAGACATGATCTAAATATTGTATTCATGGTATCTTGTTGTTAAGTGTTATTGGCTCATAGCAACCCTGTATAGGGTTTCTGAGGAGCAGCTGTTGGGTTTGAACTGTCAACCTTGTGGTTTATGATTCAGTGCTGATCCTACAGCACCATACCTAGGGTAAATAAAAAGTACTGCTGCTAGGGTTCCAGTTCATGCATGCCTGGGTTTATTCCAAACAAAACGTGTTTAAACTATGATCAGTGGATGGCTGCAGACAAGTTCTCTCAACAATATACTTGGTCTCATTAGGATGCCATCAACTAAAAGGTTCAATCAAAACAACAGCTTCCAAAGCATTGTACCGAACCATTACATTCAAGGCAGAGAGGCGAAATCAGAAAGTTATAGTGACTGTGTTTTGACAGATTTTCTCAAAGGATACAGGACACTCTCAGGAGCTTTTTATAAAGAAGTTTTAAGAAGACTGAAAACTGCATTGGTAAGAAAAAAAGCCAGGAAATTTGCACTAAGGAATTTTATTTTCCATCACTGCAGTACACCTGCTCATTGTTCAAGAATAGCAATGGCTGTCCTATTAGAATTTCATTGGGAAACTTTACCCCATCCACCCTACAACCCTGAGGCTGTCCTTGTGGACTGTTTTTGTTCCCCAAACTCAAAGAAAATTTAAAAGGAACATGATTTGAGTCCCTCAGGAATGCCAGAACTGTCGTGTTGACGTGTAAATTGAAGAGCACAGAATTCTTTGGAGCAGGGTTAGGGAGATGGAAACACCACCTTAAGAATTTTACAGACAGGTCAATTTTATGGTGAGAAATAATAATGTCACATTTTGATATTCTGTTTAATTAAGGTTTCAAGAATTTGTAGCAACACTTTTTGACTTAGCCTGTGTCCATCTTTATTTTAGGCACAGGGAAAAACTTATTAGAAGAAAGATGCAATTTTTTTTTCAAAAGGTAGAAACTAGATGGAGAAGTAGTTTACTGATCCAACAACACAGCAGAAATTCTGAAACTTAGATGCATGTAAAGAAAGGAAACAATGAAAAGCCCAGCCCTTAGAAAGAGATGAGGCACTTTTAAAGGCAGGTGTGAGGCTGACAGTTAAAACCAGAAGGTTGATTGAAAGTCTACAGCCAGGTGTGCCTATTTCACCCTCCAGAAGACCAGAGATCTATTTTTAGAGAAATTAAACCAGTAAGGATCTTAACTTAGTCTCAGTAGAAAGTGAATTGGAGTTCAAAAGTGGACTGAATATGAAAGGATTAACTTAAAGTCTGCACTTAAAAAAACAAACCTAATGGTATCCATTGAGATGACTGTGACTCATATCAACCCTATAGGACAGATTAGAACTGCCCTGTAGGGTTTCTAAGACTAATCTTTGCAAAAGCAGACTGCCACATCTTTCTTCCTCAAAGCAGTTGCTGGGTTCAAACTGCCCACATTGGGGCTGAGTGCTCAATCATTGCACTACCAGGGCTCTAGGCAGTTCCTGAATCCAGTCCTACTTGTTGCTCTGCTCAAAATCTTGATGGCAATTAACTATGTAAAAAGAAGACTACAGTGTTCTACTAAGAAAAAACTAGAATGATATTTGAGAACACACTTAAAGAGACAGATCGCTGGGAACAGGGGGTTCCCAATAAAATGTCAATGCATTTAGAAATCCCAATGTTATAACAGATAACCAAGATGTTATCCCAATGTTATAACAGATTACCAGGCATTTGAGGAAAGCCTGCAACCTAAATGGCAGAGGAAAGAGCAATCAAAGAAACAGAGCCCAGAGAAAATGGAGCAATACAGTTACCAGAAGAAACTGCCCATAAAACAAATCTTATTCATGAACTACCTATAAAACACCCAAACCAATGGTTCATTGAAAAACAATTTTTTTAATAGCCTCATGCACACCAGACCTACTCAAGCCATTCAGTTCTTAATTTTGCATCCTTTGCCCATATCTGAAGAAGAAAGGGAAGCGTTTTGTTTTAAAAAAAAGTATGTAAATATTCAAATCACTAGAAATATATCTGTTAAGTATTCAAATTTCTAAAACCATTTAAGCCCGCATTTTAAAACACATCTAGTTACTATAAAACAAAGATATATAGGTAAATGTATGTTGGTATTTGTTACTTACTATAAATGCATCCCCATCAGAAAGCAGAAGCACTAAATGCTGCCCATGCCTAAGCGAACAAAAAGAAAATCATAATGATACAGTTAAAACTAGGCAGACACTCATGCATTTTCAAATTAAATTGTCATAAGATTAAAAAAATAAAATTATCTCATCTTTTTTTCATGATTTTCCAGTAATTGTTTTTTTAAAAATCACAAGCTACTTAATTGGTTGAAGTTAAATATGAGTGACGGCGGCACAGAGAATATGTGCATCCACATACTGAAAAGAAAGTGACTCGTCTTTTTTTCATTTGTGCAGATTATATACATCACTCCAATTTTTTTCAAAAAAACCTACTATTAAAGGTGTGCAGAAATATTCTCCATAAATCTAAATTTTCAGCTCTGTTTCTATTTTAAAAAGAAGTTAATTACCAGGTAAACTAAAATCAATTTTAGGACCAGCTGTTTGGACTCATGTTAATAATGTTCAACACACTGTACCTAATACGCTAAAGGATTCTGCTCACAAAAATTATCAGATGGCAATGTACCAACATCTTCCCAACCCACAATCAATTTACTGCCTTCCCACAAGATATGTATGCTTTTCAAATGAAGTCTGCATTTAGTACACATTTACCCAATGTCATACTTACAAAGTCAGTAACCCAGCTGCCTCATCAGAAAAGTTACAGAATGCACATCTTAGAGGATTCTCTTAATAATTAAGAGTTCCAATAATTATCAGTTAAGTTATTAGTATTCAAAATTCATAGCAAAAGCAAATTGAACTGCTGAATTTAAAACTTCATTTCTTGAAATGTTTTATTTAACATACTTAATTTCTTTTTAATAATGAACCAAAAAACAGAGCGAACTCAGTATTTTGAGCTCAATTTTTAAATATTTTCCTGTGACTTTTAAGTGTGGAATGCTTTAATATTTCCTAAATGCAATATTACTGCATTACTATCTACTTTCTCCTGCTATTTTTTAATAATAGGACCATTGAGTATTAGCTGCTATACGTCAACTTAACTAAAGGTACATTTCCTGGCCTCCTGTGCAGCTAGAAGCAGCTCTATGATTAGTTTTGGCCACATTTGTCACATAGTTCAGAAATAAAAATTGGTTTTGTTCATCTAGAAGACAAACTTAGGAACAAAGTCTAGCAAGTATATAGGAATGAATTTCAATTAAATGTATTTTAATTAGGAAATTATTTTCTAACAGAGGCATTCTTTAGATGCTATTGTGCTTCCAACACTAGGTGTCCTTCCCAAACAAAGCTTGGACAACTTGCTTCATGAACAAGCTGAATGAGAGATTTCTGAATGAAGAAATGTTTGAACTAAGTGGTCTTTGGTGATGGTGGTTACGTGTCGTGGAGTTGGTTCTGACTCATAGCCACCCTGTACAGGGTTTCCGAGGCTGTAAATCTTTACGGAAGCAGAAAACCTCATCTTTCTCCTGTGAAACAGGTGGTAGTTTCAAACTGCCGACCTTGAGATTCGCAGCCCAATTCGAAACCGCTACGCTAATTAATAAGAAAGACCAAAGCAGACTTAATGCCTTTGAATTATGGTTTTGGCGAAGAATATTAAACATACCATGTACTGGCTAAGAACATACAAATCTGTGTTGAAATACATACAGCCAGAATATTCCTTAGAAGCCAGGATGGGGAGACTTTGTCTCACACACTTTGAAAGTGTTATCAGGTAGAACCAGTCTCTGGAAAAGAACATAACGGTTGACAAAGAATAGGGTCAAAGAAAAACAGGAAGACCTTCAATGAGATGAATTGATACAACAAATGCAAGAATGATTCAAACATGAAAAACTAAAGAAGGCACAAGCAGCATTGAGGTCTGTTCTACATAAGATCATTCTGAGTCAAAACCAATCTAACAGCACCTAACAACAACAACAACAACAAAGTCTCTTCCAGCCTTAATATGTTAAGATTCTATGTTTGTTAGGTGTCCCACCATGGCACTGTAAATAAGCATTAGGCTGCTAACAACAAAATTGGTGGTTCAAGTCCACTGGCTACTCCTTGGAAACCCTATGAAGGGTTGCTATAAGTTGGAACCAACTCAGCAGCACTTAACAACAAGAACATGTCTGTTAGGAAAAAAAAAAATTGAGAGAAGAGAGAAAAGGTAGGAGTAAGACAAAAGGGAAGGAAGAAATGAGGCAAAGGGGAGGCTTAAAAACCAGGCATCTTTTAGAACTAAAAGGAAGATCCTCACTGAGATGGACAGATCCAATGGCTGCAAAAACAGGTTCAAACATAACAACAATTGTGAGAATGGCACAGCACCAAGAAGTGTTTATTCTGTAGTACATGGGGACATTATGAGTCTAAACCAACTTGACAGCACCTAACAACAGCAATCTCCCATTTTGAGTGAGAAGAGACCTAGTGATCTGCTCCAAAGATCATATCCTTGGAAACCTTATCAAGTAGTCCTGTCCTATAGAGTCACTAAGAGTCAGAATTGACTCAACAGCACACAACAACAATTTATGACTAAGATATAAATAACTGGGAACACTTAGCAACTAGAAAATAATGTTTTCTTTGCTTTAATTATAATTTATTTATAAAATGCAATGTCTCACATGGCCCTACCCTTTAAAATGATAATAATAATCACTTATTTTAAGCAAAATGTTTGAATATCTAGAGAGTAAGCTCCAGATTCTGAGTATATAAATAAAATTATGTCTCATGCTTTCAAGATCAATTTAAATGGAATGGAAAATCACTTTCATTCATCATTTATAGTAACAATCCTTGATTGATTCATGATACAATCATGGAGTAATTTTTTAACACTTTATAACACAAGATTTGTTGACTTTAGCCATATTTACATTTATGTCTGCTCTAGATTCTGTTACTGACAAATCATCTTAATTAATGGCTTCCTCCAATTTATTAATATGTTTAATTAAAGCAAATAAAGTAAAAGACTATACCATAGTCATTTTTGCAACATCCCTAGTGCCTAACAGTAGTACCATTGCTGTAAGTGGGGCTCAGAAATATTTTTATTCAACAAGCATTTTCTGAACTCCTACTCTATACCTGGAATCATGGTGTGGCACTATAGGCTCAGCACTGGGCTGCTAACCATAAGGTTAGCAGCTCAAATCTACCAGCCTGCTCCTCAGAAAAGCTATACAGGGTCACTATGAGTCAGGACCAACTAAACATCACTTAGCAACAACATCAACACTCTCCATACCTGTTGATACCCAGGGCAAGGGAAGCATAAATGTGTGGGCTTTCAAATCAGATGAAACTATGTTTACATCCTATTTGCAGAGAAATCTCAGAAAGTGATGTCCTCCTGGACAGAGCTAGATAGACCACTTCAAATTTTAAAGTTTAAAAGTTTACAACAAAGACTCTGGAGCTCAGAAGTCACCTGATTAAGATTTTTCTTTTCCAAAATTTGCTCTTTTTTTTTTTTTTGACTTACAGACAAAACATAATATGTTTGTACATGAATGCTTTACTTATTTATTAAAGTTGAACTCGTGTCATAAATATCCTCAAAAGTAGAGACACAAATATAATTTAAATATGTTGGGTTTCATAAATACACCAAAAGCTCTCTACAGTTTTGTTGTCCAAGTTTTATGAAAAGGCACCAGTCTTGATAAACTTAATCCAGAAGCAGGACAGCCTCAAGGCAATATCATATTCTCAATTTTCTGTGTGCTTGCATTTCAGAAAAAATTCATAGTCTGTCTGTTTTAATGCTTTAGAATAAATACTGGACTGTGAATCACAAGATCCACTGTTAGAGCTATCATGTGCTTCATGGGAGAAAGCAGAAAGGCTTTCTGCTCCTGCAAAGATTTAAAACCTCTGAAGCCCTTAACAACAATTTTGTATAGTCCTGATGTGGGTGCTGTAGGATAAGCAATGGGCTGCTAACCGTAAAGTTGTTGGTTCAAACCTAACAGCCTTGGAAATCCTATATAGGGTTACTATGAGTCAGAACTGACTCAATGGCATTTAACAACAATTTTGTATGATGTCTGTAATAATAAATATAGGTGGTACTCATGCAAACTAAATGGAATATTTGAGAACTTAGTGACTTAAAATTTTATTTATAAAGTGGCAAACAACTTTTGATATGCATTAAAAGGGAACTTACGGGCAAAGCTCCACTTCAAGGTACAGTTTGGTCAGACTGTTCAAAAAAAATGATTCAACAACTATGAGAAAAGAAGAAATAAAAGTTTTAATATTAGGAAATTTAATTCAGAAAGAGCTAAGGAAACAAACATTTGTAAAGGGTCATACTCTGAGGAGGGTAAATCCAGAACCTTATAAATTGGAATTTTTATATTTAATATCTCTGCAAATGAATCTAAGTAGCATATGCATACCGCAGAGACATTGTGGGTTCAGGTCCAGACAACTGCAATAAAGTAAAGATGGCAATAAAGTGAGTCACACAAATTCTTTGGTTTTCCATGCTTATAAAAGGTATGTTTATATAAAGTCGGTTTGAATAGCAAGGTTGGAAGTTCAAGCTCACCAGCTTCTCCTCAGAAACCCTATACTGGGTTACTATAGGTCAGAGTCAACTCGACAGCACTTAGTAATAACAACAACATAGTCTGTTACAGAATGCACTAGCATTATGAAAAAATTTGAAATATTGTGAGAATTGTCAACATGTAATACCAAGACATGGATTGAGCACATACTGTTAAAAGTGGTGCCAATAGGTGTGCTCGATTCAAGTCTGCCACAAACCTTCAATTTGTAAAACACAGGTGTATGAGCACAACTCATCTGGAGTCAGTCTATAATATTCTGTTTCAATTGTTTCCCAAAGTAGTTTCCTGGAAACATTAATTCCATAGACTTTCTATAAGAAGTAGACAATCAACGTAGAAGGCAGGTTAGAAAAATAGTTAAGAATGAGAGCTCTATATTCATATAAATTGAGTTCCAATTATGGTTACGGTACTGTCTTGGTGTGTCACTGTAAGACAAGCACTAGACTAGTAACCACAAGATTGGTGGTTCAAACTCACCAGCTGCTCTTCAGAAACCCTACACAGTGTCGCTATGAGTTGGAACTGATTCTATGGCACTTAACAAAAACAACACTTACTATATGACCTTGAGCAAATTCTTTAATTAATGTTAAAATTTCCTAATCTAGAAAATAGAGATGAAAATAGTACCTTCTTTATAGGATTAATATAAAAGTTACTTAGAAGAGTCTTTGAAACACAACAATGTTGAGTTGTTGTCAAGTGCCATTGAGTCAGTTTCAACTCATAGTGACCCCGTATAGGTTTCCCATGAAGCAGCAAGTGGATTTGAACTGCCAACCTTGTGGTAGTTATTATTGCTATTAGTATTAATATTACTCTTATGCAAAAATAAAAATTTACAATGGTCATACATGTTTGGAATGTGTTGTGTTGATAAAAAAGTTAAATTAATTTCTCTTTTGAAGAATTTTGAAATGATTATGTTCATATTTATAATGTCTCTTCAAGAGGCAAATAGAATTTGCAATATTTTCCAAACTTATTTCAGTATGGAACTCTATCTTTCTGCAGTATATTTTACAAAACTAGTGAACTTTCCTTACTTATCCAATCTGTAAATCTGTATGATGAGGAAATAATGCAAGAAGCTAGATTATATGAAGAAGAACATGATATCAGGATTGGAGGAAGATTCATTAATGACCTGTAATATGCACACAACAACAACAACAACAATATGCACATGACACAACTTTACTTTTTGGAAACTAAGAGGATTTCAAATACTTCCATATGGATTGCACATCAATACAAAGAAAACAAAAA